CCCCAAAACCCCAAAACCCCAAAACCCCTAAGAATATTCTTCAAATTATGAAATTAATGGAATTTAAGAAATTAACAGATAATCATAAATTCAAGAAGGGTCTTTATGTGAAATTATTATCTGGAGGTGTCCATTACTATTAGCAAGCCTTAGTGATATCTCCTTTAAAAGAGACATTACTTAAATGCTCTAAGAAATCATCTAATTAGCAAAAGTATCCTTTGCCTAATCCTTTTTAAATATTTGATTGCTAGCATGTTTAGAATTATAATGGGTTGTTATTGTGATATGATAGAATTTTAAAGCATTATCTTTTCATTTGAGGATCTTCAAGAGCATCTAGGCAGCTTTGGTTAAAGTAAGCTTCAAACACAAATGACGAAGCATAAGGTATATCTACTATCTCATAATTTATGGGCTGCAAGAATGGTATTCCATTTGAAATAGTATCATCGTGAGCAGAATAACTCCACACTCTTAAACTGTCTTCAGTTTAATTTTTAAAGATAATGTCTCGTATTCTTTCTAGCATCTTAGTCATAGGCTTTCTAAATTATTTAGTCATGAATAATTATCTGCCTTCTTCACCACAGGGAATTCTCAGTCCATCTCTTTGCAAAGTCCTCAGGTAATAAACCTCCTGGGAAGTAAATTCAAATCTTCTTTTATCTCCCTCAAAATCTTCACATCTGAACAAATCTCCATAATCTCCTAGTCGAGGCATCTCTAGATTCTGAGATTCTTCCTAAGTCAAATTAAATGCTTTAGTTATTGAATCTCTTAAGACTGAGAGATAATCATCAGCTACTTCTTTAAACGCAGCTGGATCATTTTCATTATGAGTTTTACGCTCATTAGCATATGGACAATTGTCAAAAATTGTATCATCATTTAGGTTTCTCTCAAGATAATTGAACACAGGAATAAACTAGTATCCATCAATAATGGATTTTTATTGGAAATTTTCATATAATTATCTTGATTTTCTAATCATTACCTTGGGCATTGCTTTTCCATTTCTCAGGCTATCATATTCGCCAGGACTTAATTATTTTGATTAAATTGGAGGGTATAGTCCAAGCATTTCAGAATATGCACTCTATATAGTTCTAAACACATCCGATGACTGAATGTATATCTAATTTGGGTTATACTCATCACTCAGTAATTTATAATCATTCACATATCTTTCTCGATTAAATCTTCCTTGTAAATGCCTTTGTCTAAAACCTTAAGGAGTAAGCATTCCTGGATTTACAGTAAATTTGCCCGGATCCACTTATCCTGATGCTCTAGCACCGTGCCTTATTACTTCATAAACAAAGCAAAGCTAAGAATCTTCTGCGAGAATGAATTCGGAGAACAATAAGACTTCAGTTATTAGCAGGAGTAGCTTTCTCATTTAAAATGGATAAATAATATTTATATATATTTGCTCATTTGAAATTGCTTTATCTTAATTACTTGGGGTTTTGGGGTTTTGGGGTTTTGGGG